ACTGGCTCCCTGGTGCTGGCCTCTGGCATTGCCCTCACCTCTTGGTGCTGGTGGGGCACTTCGGGAGGGTGCTGGTGGCCTCTGGCAACCTCTGCTCTGTGTCACCCCCTTCCTCGTGGGTTCTGGGGGAACAAAACACACGCTGTTAGGTGATTGTCGTCATAAGCTTCATGAAGTCCTCAGAGATGGCTGCAAAGCTGGCAGTGGGTTGGCTGCCTCTTTCCCCAACTTGCCCAGCACACATGACCATCCTCGTGGGTGAAATGAAAGTGCGCGTGCCCGAGGACAAGGCCATGCCTGGACCCACGGTGGTCACCCTGCCAGCCCCTCGCTGCCATAGCCCGGCCGCCCTGGTGCTCCTGGCCCTCCCGCTGTCTCTCCCCAGTGGGACACCCCGGCACTGGCACTCACTGGATCCATTGGGGAGCCCGTCCCCGATGCTGACCGTAAGGGTTTTGCCTCCTGCTTTGAGGGTGGCCACGTCGCCCTGGCCTCTCATGAAGGTGACGTTGCGGGTGCCACCACCGCCCCAGCCCTCCTTCTTCACCCGGAACTGTAGTCTGGAAGAGAGAGGCATTGCCATGAGGCGAAGGTTTGGGATCCCCACACTCCTGTGGGATTACAGGGCCAGCCCTCCATGGGGACATGTGGTTGGCCTCGAAAGTTTGGGCTGTGAGAGAAGAAGGTCAAGCCCAGACAGCAGCGCTGCACTACTTACGTGTCTTTGAAGGTGAGGTGCAACTTGCTGCTGGTGAGCTCCTCATAGCGTTTGCACAGCAAGCTGATGAGCTCCGTCTTAAAGATCGACTCCAAGAAATTGTCGGCTTCATTCTCATGGAGGATGAAGAAGTCATCCTGCCTTGTGCTGCTCGGAAAAATGCCCAAGAGGGGAAGTGTTAGACACCGGGCACAGGCAATGCTCATCCTAACCAGTGCTATTTGGAAACCAGGAAACCTCCTCTGAGTCTGGAGTGGGTCCAAAAAATTTGGAGCCAAAAAATTTAGAGGTTTCCTAATGGGAAACCTCCTAGGCCTACAGAGCAAGGATGCAGCCAACCTTGCAGGGATCCCAGCTTCATGAGTCCCCTATCTCTTCCCTCACACGTTGGTGTGATTCTCTGTTACCTTCATCTCCAACAGTGGGCTGGAGCTCAGAGTTTGGAGAAGGCCTGAGAGATCAGCCAGTCTGACCTCAATGGGGCTGCTCAAGACCTATGGCCCCCATGTGAAGAGCCTTGTGGAGCCACATGTGGTACCAGGTCCATGCTAGGGGACGCACCTCAGTGAGACACCACTCACAGCCTGGATCTCCACCTTCTTCTTGAGCACTTCCTTGATCTGCCCCTTCTCAGGACCTTTCTTCACCTTCTCCCGGCCAATCAGGTAGAAGTACTTGGGGGTGAGGATGAAGTCTCGCTTGATGGGCTGGGAATGGGCAGGAGCAGGAGGTGAGGGATATGGGTATATGAAGTGCATGTTTGCTGGAGGACATGGGTCCCCTCCGAGCAAATTCGTGATGAGTCATGAGAATGCAACATGGCTTGGACTTTCCCCTGTGCTGCACTTTACCTTAAATCTCCGGTCGTACTTGGTGACAGAGTCAGCGAAGTCTATCCGCTCCCTCTTGGCCATGAACTGGCGCAACTCCGGCCGTTCCTCCATGCCCAGGTAATCACCCACAAAATTCCTGTTGATGCTGTTCCTCCTCCTCTCTTTGAAGTTGTAGAGGATGTTCGAAGCTGTGTGGGGCCCCAAAGTGGTGCTGGTCAAACTCGGGTCTTGCTGGCTGGCAGCTGAGCCCAGAGTTTGGACCACTGGAGCTTGGCACTGGGAGCCTCTGGTGCCAGATATCTCCTGGCCTTATAAACCTGTCTGCTAGAGCCTCCTGAGACAACCCACAAGCTGTGGCAGCAGGACGTGGGGTTCATTGCATGTCATAGAAGACATCTGAGCTCTTTGAACCTTGCTGTTTTTAAATAATGCTAATTGCTCTCAAAAACTTGCATTGTGGGAGGGATAGTCCATCCCAGGCTGGGGGGATTTTCCTCTTGATTTTTCACTGTATATTTGGAGATATTGGGAAATGCTGGCAACAGCAGCTGGCTGAGGAACCTGGTCTTTCCTATCCCTCTGCAAGCACTGAGCATTTGGTGCCCTTCAGCAGAGCAGGATCCATCTCTAAAACTGTCTCCTACTCATCTCCATCCCTCTGGAGGCAATGGAATGGAGAGAGTGGCTCTAATTTCTGCCCTATGGCCCCTATCAAGGCTGGAAATAGTAGCAAGAAGCCCACTCCCTCCTTTAAAATCCCAGGGGAGACTCCAGGCTTCCTGCTGGGGCTCTCGCCCCGCAGTCTTACCCTCTTCTCGCATCTGCTCGTACTTCCGGATGGCAACGTGTCGCCGCCAGGCCTTCTGGATCACCCGGGCAAAGCCATCGAACTTTCGCTCCCGCATCTCTTCGAGGAGGAAGAGCTGCACAAGGAGACATGGGAGCTGAGCCCAGCTAGGATGGGGCTGTCTGGCCAGGGTCTCCCTCCCTTCTCCTGGGTTTTAGCATCCCCTTCCCAAACCCATCCCAGCATGGTCCATATAGATGCCCTGATGGACACAGGGATGTCCCTTCTGGAGGTTGGATGGCTGCAGCTTGTTAGGTGCCCCCTGAGACCCACACAGAGCTGCAAGATGACAGGCAGCGCTGGGTCACCTACCGATTCGGGGTTCTTGACGAAAACCTTGCTCCGGCCCATCTGATACTGGTCTGGGTCCATGTTAACGGACCGCAACAAGTGCTGCACACCCTGGCGCTCGTCCCCTCGCCAGGAGGGCCATGTCTCTGGGGTGAGGATGGCGTACCTGCCAGCAGAGGGACCATGAGCACGTTCCTGGGCTCGCTGCCCAATGGCCAGCCCCAGTGGTCGCTCACCGTTGCAGGAACTTGTGGAAGATGCGGCGGTAGGCGAAGCCTGCCCGGCGCACCCGGATATTCTCCTTCAGCCCCAGGTACTCGACTTGGTGCTTCACCCTGCAGAGCCAAGAGCAGAAAGAGAAGTTCTCAAGGTGGGACAAGACCATGCATTGCAGCTCGGGTGGAGAGGAGCTGATGCCGGGATCTGCTCCGCAGCTCGATCCTTGTGGGAGAGCTGGACCCCACCATGCATTGGTCTCACTGGTGCCATGATGCAGATGTCTCCTTTACCTGCTCTCCTCCCAGTCCCTGGGTTTCTTGGTCTCGTTAGGTTTGATGCAGCGGATGTAGTGTGGCGTGCACTTCATTAGCGTGTTCACCAGGTCGTTAGCCTGTTTCTGTTGCAAAGATTGCTTGGCAGCAACTGGAGGCTTTGCCAGAAGCCCAAAACCAATTTTCTGCCCAGGGGAAAGGCAACTGCTGTCCTCCAGCCTACAGGACGTACCTTGATTTTGGAGCCTGCTGTGGTTGGTCGGCCCTTTTTGTCAGAATCCAGCTTTTCTGGGAAAAGCATCCGGATGAAAGCACTGAAAGACAAATAGCAGTTAGGGGTAAGAGCTGGTGGGCTCTGGGAAGCGCAGCAAGAGCTGAGCCATCGCAGCAACCAACTCCAGCTCCAGTTTCTGATACTATGCAATGCAATTGTGAGGCATCAGTCTGCACCAAGGTTAAGATAGACCCCTCCAAATTTCCCCCTTTATTCAGACCAGCATCTCTTGAATTCTGCTGCCGCTGCACCCAATGGGGAGATGCCATCAGTCCCCATGAGGTGATGCAGGATGCCGGAATGAGGCATGAGGTAGTCCAAGACACAGGTTTTCCCCTCTGGCTTTGAGGATGCTGTAGCCAGACCAAGCCCTCAAGGGATGCCACTGGAGCTCGCTTTCACTATTCACTCACTATTCACTGCTCTGCATGAGCTCAATCAGGTCGGTGAAAAGCACGTCCCGGTTGCGCTCGCAGAAGCCCGTCACGTCATAGGAGACCTGGAGGGGCCAGGAGAGAGGAGAGCTCAGCCTGCCCGGGCCACGCACCCGCTCTGGTGCTGCACGTGCGCGGGGGGCGTGCAGTGTACCTTGCCTGCATAGTGGTGGATGACGAAGCCCGAGTTCCAGCTGTTGAAGTGCTCGTGTGTCCCCACGGCTGCCTGCAGCTTCTGCAGCAGGGTCTGGTCGGCTCCTTCCCCCGTCGCGTGCATGGTGGCGCAGACGTCGTCCAGGACGCTCATGATGCCGGGGGGGTTCTGGGGGAGGCAGCCGTGCCCACGATGACCTGTGTGCCCTAAGCGAAGCCCTGGGCCACTGGGCAGGGCCCAACCTTGTATCTGGCTAGAAGTGCCCTGTGCTTCTCTAGGCTGTTTTCCTTAGAACTGCTGCTCAGGTTAAGGATGTGGAGCACCTCCCTGGTGCTTCTGCTTCCGCAAGGATGCTTCCCGGCAGGACTGGCTTTGGCCATCTGCTATGTACAGCACTGCGTCTGTCTGTCCCCCTGAAGTGTCCTAAGCCTCCTCTGGAGCAGAGAACCCCACTCACCAGCTTGTTCTCGATCAGGTCACACACCACCTTGTTATTGAAGTACTGGATCTGGGTCCACTTGATGCCCTCCTGCACATACTCCTCCTAGGGAAGAGTAGAGAGAGATGGGTGAAGGTGGCTGCGTGCAGACAGATGGACATGGGATTTCTGGGGTTTGCCAACACTTGTCTGCTCTTGCTGTATTGCTGGGATCTGCCCAGGACTGGGGAGGTGTCGGCTGCAGGAATCAGGGCTTTGGGCAACCTTCATCTCTCCCCAACATGCCCAGTCCCCCATACCTGCTCTGCCTTGAGGGTCAGCTCTATGAAGATCTGCTGCAGCTTCTCATTCACAAAGTTAATGCAGAATTGTTCAAAGCCGTTTTTCTGCAGAATTGCAGAGGAGAATGCAAGAGGACAAATGAGATAGATAAGATTTAGTTGGCCCCTTTTGCGTCGTCAGAGGAGAGGGAGGACGGATGGTCCTCAGCTGGGTTCTACAGAAAAGCAACCAGTACCTGGAATATTTCAAAGCCGTAGATGTCGAGCACCCCAATGCTGTACTCCTCGTGTGGCTTCCGCATGGCCCGGTTAACAGACTGCAGAGAGAGAGGGCCCAAACCGTCTTCATGGAGAGCTCCTGCCAGCTTGGCAAGTTGCACGCTGGAGCGGATGGCCCCCACTTGTTCCCCTGCTCTGTACCCATGTCACCACCTCATGCCCCATTTCCGAGGTCATCTCCAAGGTGCGGCCAACTCTTCCCATCTCATCTGCTAGACTCATGACCCAAGCACCAAGGAAAAGCTCTCTGGGCCTTGGCAGAGGATGGGGCTTAGAGTTACCTCCTGCCAAGAAGGGGCAGGGGCTACCTGGCTGGAGCAGCCCCATCCACCACATGGCTGCGGGGCCACCCACCTCCACAAGAAAGTCAAAGACCCGTGTGTAGAGGCCCTTGGCCAGGGCATCCCGGGTGTAGGCTGCCTGCTCCACATTGAGGGTCACGTTGATGGACTCCGAGCGGCCGCCCCACTTGCTGTCCATCTTCCTGCTGGTGATCTTGTCATTGAGCCGGTCCTGGTTGATCCCCAGCAGGTAGGCAGGGAAGGCCAGTGCTGGGCAGAGGGAGAGTGGTCAGGATGGACACACATCTTAAGGATGCTGCCAGACCCTCCTACACCCTGGCCAAGCCCAAAAGAGAAAGGGACAACTGCGGACTACCAACTAGACATGGGATGGTGCCCTCCTCTACTAAATCACTGCAAGAATCTGCCAAACAAGACTCAAGGTATCCATCTGCCACCAGTGATTTTTTAACTATGGTTGTGTCATTTCCTTGCTTGCTGCTTCAATTTCCCCATCTCTAAAGCGGGGAAGATGTTGATGCCACCTCTTTCCTCTGCTGAGGGATATGTGCTATAAGTTTGTGTTCAAGTGCAAACATCTCTGCAGCCGCACAAGGGCTGCTGGAATACTCACCATCGGTATTTTCCACCTGGGCGTAGTTGCCCTCTTCACGGAAGCTGATGTTGCCCAGGTGGAGGATCCCTGCCACGATCTGCAGCACGAGTTGCTGGTCCTCTCTGCTGATGCCAATGACCTGCATGGCGTTCTGGGGGGAGACGCAAGACTCCCGTCAGCCCAAGTGCAGCCACAGCCAATGCCCAGGCTGGGGAGTGCCCAAGGGTGCTCACCATGGTCTCATGGAAGTCACTGCGGTCGTCAGTGCCATCTACTTGGTAGGTGTCTGACTGGTTCAAGTAGTAGTAATAGTCGGGTGTCATGATGCCCAAGTTCTGCCGCTGCTCTTGGGACGCCCCTTCGATGAGCTGCCAGGTACAGGGAGAGTGAGTGGGGCTGAGCGGTGCTCGCGGGTGCCCCCGCAGCTGGTGTGCCCATACCTGGTAGTAGATGTGGAAGTTCCTCTCGTTCTCGTTCTGGCTCACCACCCGGGACTTCTCCAGCAGAAAGTTGGAGATCTTCCCTCCATCGGGCTCGCCGCCCCGGCTGAACTGGATTTCAAAGTACTTCCCCTGCCAAGGGGACACGTCGCTGCTCAGAGCCTGCAGGTGCAGAGCGGTGGCCTCCTGCCAGGCTCTAGTGGAAGCCCCCTGCCTTCACCCCCTATCCTGCCCTGGGGACTCACGAAGCGGCTGGAGTTGTTGTTCCTGACAGTTTTGGCATTCCCAAATGCTTCCAGCAAGGGGTTGGACTGCAGTATGATGTCCTTCACGTGCTGAGGATGAGAGAAGGGGACAAGAGTGAGCAAGGAAATTGGAGCTAGTGGCATCTCTGAGGTCTCCCTGCTCCAGGGAGATGCTGCAGATGGAGGAGGCAGAGGGATACAGTGGGGAGAGGAGGACGGAGGTGAAGCAGCTGCATGGGAGTGGTACCTGCACTTTCTCTCCACCTCCGGACACTTTGGAGATGTAGCCCATGATGTATTTTGCTGCCACTGTTTTTCCAGCCCCGCTTTCTCCGCTGTGGAAACACCCAAGCGGAGGGGGAGTGAAGGGTTCAGCAATGCCTGGTCCAGGCACCAGAGACAGGTCCTCGTGTCCCCAGCACAGACCCTCGGGATTGGGGGATGAACAGCCCTGGGCTCAGACACTGCTGAGGGTACAACCCCAAACAAGGCCCATGCTGCGGCGGGGCGACTCATACTGCTGGAGTGGTGCCAGGACCCGGTTATCTCCTGCCTGGGAGCCTGCACCCAGGGCAGGGGATGGGGCTGCTGCTGCTTTGGGAACATCCTGGGACAGAAACGGGTCCAGATCCCCCCACTTACAGCAAATCGGGCTCGTCTGGGAGGAGATTTTGGCCTTGTTGCTGGATCCAGAGGGGAAACAGGTGACTTTGGAGCCTGCAGGGGATGTCTGGGGACTTGCCCCACACACCTTGACCTGATCCCTTACAACACATGACGGGAAAAGCACAATGTGCCGGGCTCAGTTCCTGCAGGGAACAGCAGCTCCTCGCCCTGGATGCCGGGGACCCTCCGAGCATCCCCTTGTGCTGGATGACCCGCAGCCCCGCGCTGGCTTTAGGGACCCCCCAGTGCAAGAACCACCCTGTGCAGCATCGGCCTCACCCGTACCTGATGATGACGCACTGGTTCTCGCCATCGATCAGCATGTTGCGGTACATGTTGTCAGTCAGGGCGTAGATATGGGGCGGATTTTCATACTGAGCCTGGAGAAGCCACATGGAAAGTGGCGCTGAGCACAGAGCAGCCTCCCCACCACCGCAGGCAGGTGCTGGCTCCAGATCACCTTAACTCTGCCCATGGAGCAAACACGGAGCAGAGATGGGGCAAGTCCCCTTAGCACAAAAAAGTGAGCTCATTGGAGGTATTTTTGGTTGTTTTCTCAGCTCTTTGGTGGGGTCTCCTTGCAGCAGAGTTAACAGAATTTGGGGTTGTATCGCACCACTTTTTTGGGTAGCTTTTGCTCGTATTAGCTGCATTTCCCTTGTCTGCAGATTTACTCTTGAATCTCATTACTGGCCCAAAATGGGAATATCGTTTCGGTTTGAGAACGCCAATTCCTGCAGTAAATGCACCCAGCTTGCCTCAGTGTCCCCGCATGTCCCCAATCCGCCCAAAACCTGCGTGTGGCATCCTCACCGCTCCTTGGTAGAGCTCGATCTCCCGGTCGGTGAAGTAGGGCATCTGCTTGAAGGGGTTAACCGAGATGAGCACCGGCCCGATGTAGGTCTGAGCAGCAGGTTAAGGTCTGTGCAGTGGTCCCTGCTGTCCCTGCCATCCCGGCACCACTCCCTGCCCGCGCGCAGCCTCAGGGCAGCGGGAGGACGGAGATGCATCCCCAGCACCCCAAGTGGGCACCGGTGCCCGGGCGGATGCTGCAGAGAGGGATGACGAGGGATGAGCCCTTGTCGAGGGCAGGGATGGGCTGGTGTCCTGTTTGCAGCCCCTGTTGAGGGTGTGAAGAGCAGAGGAAGAGGACCTGAAGGGCAGGAAGAGCGAAGCTGCTGCAGGAAATGCAGAAGCGAGGGGTGTTGAGTCATGGCCAGACAGCAGGCTCTACGCAGTGCGGTGAGAAAGGAAAAGGAAGGTGGAGGTTGCGTCTTTTCTCTTCTTTTTTCCCCTTTTTTAGAGAGAAGAAAAAAATAACCCAAGCCCCAAGTGCATTTGAAGCCTCACAGCTGCCGCAAGAGCAGGGAGGAGCGTGCGTCACCGCCGGCCCCGTCGGGCGCGTTGCCTTGTAAGGCCAGAGCTGCATCCTCAGGGAAACCACAGCCGCTTGCAGCGGGGAGACCCTCCCGTGGCGCCCGCCAGCCTGTCCCCTGGCCAGGCAGCTGCCCAAGCCACCCCAGCGCCCTGCCCGGCCGGTTAGTGGTTGTTTGTCCCTGTCCCAGGACAACCTAGCAGCCGCCAGCACTGGGAGCAGTGGGGAGGGGATGGATGCTGCAGGGATGCAGAGCTGCTGGGTCCTCGCTGGGGACTCACAGATGGATGGTGCGGGAGTGCAGAGCTCCCACATTCCTTGCTTTGGGCAAGCGGATGGGTGCTGCAGGGATGTGGAGCTGCTGCAGGCCTTGCTGGGGGTGAGTGAGGAGCGAGAGCAGCCCTGTGCAGCAAACAGGCACGTCTCGAAGCCTCGCCGTGAAGCCCTGACGTAGCGGGACGCAGGCCCGGTCCATCCTGCCTCGCTCAACCGGGGTTAGTGAAACGTGGAGGCTGCAGCGTGTAAGACACGATGCTGGCAGCATCCAGGCAAAAGCTGCTCTGGGTGGTGGCATGGGACAAAGTCGGGCAGGATGGAGGGGGTGAGTAGCACCCTGTGGTTTTGTGGTGGTGTCTGAACCAGCCTGAGAGCAGCAAAAAGCAAAGACTAAGCAAAAAGATCCAGATCTCTACTCCAGTTCTGCGAGGTCACTCCTGTTCTGCCCCGAGGACCATTGCAGGGTTGCTTGGATTTGCCACTGCTGGAGGTGAAATCCCAGCAGCACCGGGATGATCCATCCCAACTGTGGATGGGCTATGACACCATGGGGGACACCTGAGCGCCAGGGGAGATGGCAGCTTGAAGAGCCACCAGCCTGGGGGACAGCAGGAGGCGATGCCAATGTGACCATCATGGTTTGACTCTTCCAGAAGATCTCCTAGAATTGTGGAAGAAGTCAGATGAGGATCTTGGCTATGGCTTTCTTTGCAATCCTTGATGCCTGGACACTGGAAAGGAGAGATCCAAGTGGTGGCGCAGGGCATCTCCTGGGGCAGTTGCAGTGACTCTGCAGAGCAGCTCCTGAATGGGGTGCTTTGGTGTCCGACAGAGACGGGCACTGGGGGGGTCACCTGCTGTCCTGCCATGTCATTGTACCCGCCGTGGGCTGTGCGCTGGGACTGGCTGACATCTCTGCATGCACCTCCTTTGGAAGAGCCACTGCTATTCCCCTGGGCTAATCCCAACCCCATCCCAGGATCAGGGAACCCTGGAAGCACCAGGACAGCCCTGGGTTGACCTGCTCGCCTGCATAGCTCACATGCTCACGCACAGCCCGGGGAAGGATACGAAGATGTAGTCGTCCATAAAGCGCTTCTTGAGGTTCTCCACGATGGCCTCCTCGGTGATCTTGGAGAGCAGCACCATGTCGTCCACGCCGCTCTGCTTGACGTTGTGGCTCTGCCAGTGGAAGCGCTCCTTGCTGCCCTGCGGGGAGACGGCGGGCGAGAGCGGCTGAGCCGGGCGACAGTGGAGCCATGTGGGGCTGGCGCCGGCTCTGCAAAGCTCCGGAAAATCCACTTGGAGCGAGCGAGAAGCAAAAGCCCCTGAGTCCTGTGAGCGGACAAGGGTTCACCCCGCTCAGGCTGGATCCTGCCTCCCTGCACCGAACTTGCAGGCCAAGCATTACGCAGAGGAGCAAACAGGGCACCAAGAGCCTGTTTGCAAGCTCACCCTGTTCACTAAGGAGGGAAAAAAATATGTCATTGCAACCCTGTGGAGGGGAAAAGCATTTTCTGCCTGGGTTCTGCTTGCAAAAATAACTGCAGGAAAGGCAGAAATCAGCAGGCAGCCCAGAGCCTCAGGTGGCTGCTCCCTGCTTGCACTTGATGCAGTTGACAGGAAAGGGGGCAGCCCGGAGTGCAGGTGAAAATGGTCCTTGGGCAGCGTTTCCTCCCTGCCTGGGTGGGTCCATCTCCCTGCTTTTGCTCTGACCGCAGAGCAAAAAAGTCTGGCTCCATCGTCTCGCAGCAAACGCGCTGGGAAGCAAATGCTGTGAGCAGCAATTGAAGCCGCTGCAGGGCTAGAGCGGGCCCTTCCTGGGCATGGACGGGGAAGATTTCATCTTGCAAATAAAAGCAAAAACAAACAACGAAACACACATGAAGAAAACCCCTCCTGTCCTCACCACAACAAAGGAAACTTGTGCTGCACGGCGTAAAGCTGCGTGCAGCCGCTGTGCAACGGGCACCCAAGAGCACCCGGAGAGGGGCCGTGTCCAGCCGGAGCCACCTTTGCTCATCCGCACGCCCCTGTGTTTCCTCTTTTCAGTCAGAGCTCTCTAAGCCCTGATTTCACTTCTCTTCCCCCCACCCGTTGCCCCAGCCTTTTACTCCTTCCATTTCCCCTTTCTGGTGCTTCCCCTTTTTTTATCTGCCAGGCTCTGGGTTTTCAGGCTCTGCTTCGTTATCGCTTGGATGAGTCAGGAAGATTCTGTGTCCCCCCCCGCTTTTGCTCCCTGATTTCTGCCCGGCAGCCCCTGCTTCCCGGCCTTGTGCCCCGAGGATGTTCCCTGCTTTGCCACAGGGTGCTGGGATTTAACATTGGCCTCAGACCCACAACCTAAAATATGGTGTTTGCCTCAGCTAAAAGAAAGCTAATAAATAAATAACGCCCCCCCAAATGCAACTCAAAGTCCCCAAAACAACAGAGTGGGACCACTGTGGGCTCCCTGCTGGGCTGGGCAGAGGCTGGGGCATGTGTGCCCCAAACTGCGGCACCAAATTAAGACAAAAAGAGCAGCGCTTCCGGTGTTGCAACCTTGGTACTTTTGAGCTGACAGACGTGTTCCTTCTTCCTGAAAACCTGGGTTTAGATACCAACATCCCGACACGCAGCTGAGCACCCCCAGCGTCCCCTGTCCCTGTGCCGACCTGGGGAGCAAAACCATCATTGCACAACAGCCTTGTTTTACCCCGGAGCCCAGGTGGCCACCACCGAGCAGAGCTCGAGGCTGGCACCTCTTTTTTCGAGAAAGGGCCACCCCTGGTGCAGCCAACACCCTGTGAAACCACCGGAACCCTTCGGAGAGCAGCTGTTGCAATGGTGACAGCAGCCCCAACAGGTAGCAGATGCCAGCGGCCCTTGTGGGGCTGGGATGCACAGGGGTGATTTGGGAATGGGGCTGTTTCACCTCCTCTTCTGCCTCTCCCTCCTGCTCGTCCCCGAGCACCCCAGCACCCTGGGGACACCCGCACTGCTCTGACCGCAGCGCCCCGGGGTTTTTCCAGCCTCAGCTCTGGCTTCCTCCCTGCCGCCTGCCTGCAGACACCTGCTTTGAGAGCCTTCACCTTCCTCCTCTCCTCCCTCTAGAGCAACTTGCAGCTCCCAACAGGGCCTCTGTCCTTGCCGGGTCTTGGGCACTGCCACCAGCCCCGTTGGAGGATGGGAGCAGCCACAAAAGCAAAAGCTCCTTCCTGTCAGAGCCCAGACCCCACACGCCCCC